AAAAATTAAAAAAAAAAAAAAAAGAAAGTATTGGAGTTTCTGTGGATTTTGCATATATAACATTGATTACTTTCCTTTTCTTGATGAAAACCAGTCATGCTGTGATTGATTGATTTTCTTGAAGCCAAACTGAAGGACTTGCCTCACAGTCTATATTGCACAACGATAACATTTTCATTGAGCTGTTCTTACTGATGCAAGTTTTTCTTAATTTGGAATTTCTTTTTTCAGTGAGACAAAGGATAATAATTACTGTCAGTTTCAAAAATTTGACATCTGGTGATTGAGTGTAGGAATGTAAACTAGGAAGATATTTCTCACACACACATACACACACCCTCTTAGGGCTTAGGGTGTCTATGGTACCAAATATAAATTAGTCTTCTTGAATCGTGGGTAAGTATATATGTCCTCCATCTACTTTTACTCTCGATATCTTTGTTACACACACAGTTCCTAATCCATGTGTTTTTATAAATTACAGCATTCAGTTATTTTAAAATATTAAGATTTATAAAGTTTTTAGTGATTGCTAAAGCAATTGTTTCTGTCTCATAAAATAAGTGCAGGCTTGAATATTCTTTGTCCTGTATTGGAAAATCTAGTCTAAAACCCTTAACTCATCCTATTTCTCATTCCCTGAAATAAAACAATGGTGCATACAATCAAACGCACACACCAACACAAGAGAAAATTAAAGTTAATGTTTACTGTTGGCATTCTCATTCTTTACTGAAAGTACTGAGACATATATCCAAGGAAACGATGTAATTAACATGTGCACCAGTTCGGGAGCACTTTTTTCTGGCTTTTATATGCATAGCTGAAAAATCATGTAGAGGATGTTCACATCAGTGAAATGAAATTTGAAACATAAAAAGAACGTTTTTAAAAAAAGATATTTAAGAATATCATGTCTTGGAAGAGAAAAAATTATATTTTTGAATACATGTTTTTTCAAATTCTCATATTAAAAACGGACAATGTCAAGAGTGATATTTTTGTTGAATTGAATTATTTGTTGGCTGTCACTTCACAAAACTGAGAAAATACATTTTATATTCCTGAGTGGTTCAAAGTATTAAAAAAAAAAAATACTAACATAATACCTTATAATGGCTAGTAGTTCCCGAAGGACCATTTCCCTTTGTGTATGCTAGAAATTAGACCATCTGATGGTATTGAGAGAGGTCTTCTGACATTTCGAGGAAAAGTCCTGCTTTACAAGTCATCAGCTCCTTATTTCCAGGGGGATCCATTAACAACTAAAATTGCACATCAGTGCTTGAGTTAGACTAAGAATGATAATCAGCCATGGATCTTATCAATGGTGGGGTTTTTTTAAAATTGATGTACAGTTTCAGAATTCTAATTCAAGAAATAGAGCTTCTCAGGAGATCCTTTAAGATCTCTGTTCTTATTACACATGGCTCAGCCTGTCTAGGGACATCTACCAAGACCAAGGGTGGTAGGGGCAGAGTTCCAGGGCCGCCGTAGCAGGGGCACCACTGGACGTTGGTGAAAAAGAAAGAAGGGAGGGAGAGAGAGAGAGAGAAAAAAGGAAAGAAAGAGTCTTTCACAAATGTCATCGTCTGGAAAGAGTAAAGGCAGGAACCATAGCTATGCGTATAGTGATTTTGTAACTGTATGTGTACCCTCTTGAAAATAAAGGTCAAAAAAATTAGTTTAAAAGAATTATTAGGAAAATTATAACTCTGCCTCAATTTTTAATAATTAGTTTAAGTTCAGTGTTTGGCTCCTTAATTTGTTTCCATAAATCTTTTTTAGTACCTAATATGTGCCTGGCAATGTAGTAGGTGTTGGGAATATAAAGAGGAATAAGATAGGATCATTATTAGGGAACTTGCCAGCCCCTAGGAAAGTCCGACTTTTATATAAGGAATAATATCTGGTAACTCAGCAGCACAGACAAGTAGGTGACTATTTCAATTTCGATGAATGAACCCAGTGAAAATATTCAGCACCATGTTTCCGTTTCAGACTTTCTTTGAAAGAGGCTCATTACTTCTTAAAGAATAGAAAATATTCTCTCCAAGTGCACCACCTTCAACAACAAGTTGCTCTCCTATATATTTTTGCTGTTATTGATGATACATGGCTCCTAATTATGTTCATTGTCACCTTGTGCCAGATGTTTGGCATAGAAAAGATTCTATCTGGAACATTTTTGCATTGGGGAAAAAAATGACTTGATTATCTCCCACCTATTAGTATTGAAATCAGCAATGACACTCTGTAGTTCTGTGTCTTAATTGATTCTTTAACAATTGATACTTGGGTAGGTATGCAACATCTCATTCTTGTGGTTAGAGATAAAAGGAAAGGAATCATTAGCAAAGTCGACTTAAGAATATTGCCTCAAGTAATTTCTTTTCAAACTCTGAATAACTAAACCAAAATTCAATGCACTAGGAGGATAATTTGAAGTCCTTAGGACCTTAAAATTATGTGTTTTCCTTATGTAAGTGACAATCTGAAATATATAACTTGTTCTGTTCAAATAAAGGAGTATCTTTATATGGTTGTAGAAAATATAATGTAGTACACTCAAGATGGTGAGATAGGCAACACAGCCTATCTGGATGGCAAATATTAAGATATGGAATATTTTACCACTTTGACCTACTTTTTCATTTTGTTTTTATAATATATTTAGAGCAGTCCTGTGGAAAACCTGTGCAGACTTGCTTAGGTGTAGGAAAGCTACATATATAGATATATATACATATATAAAATAATAAAAGGTAAAGCCCACATTTTAATATGTAAAATTATGAATGACATACTTTTTATGTAAAGTTATGAATTTGTCTATTATATGAACTATGTTAACTACATTAACATTGCAGCACACACTCCTATTCAGTAAAAAGAACAGGGGGAGGCTTTCATTTGTCTGACCTGAGTTTAATGATGTTATTGGGAGGCATACAGGAAATCTTGGGCAATGGGTACATGTTCATGCCGTGCCCTTGGAGAAGAGATGTAAACCATGCCTGATAAATTTTATGGAGCTACTTAAAGAATGTGGAGCAATGGTGACAATTTATGTGACCAATTTTTTAAGAGCAAAGTCGCATCTATCATTGTATTTAAGCTGGGCTGGGCAAAGGGAAGAGCAGGCATGCTCAGAGGTGGGGCCCTTGATGGAAGGCCTTTGAAGCTAAAAGATGTATAATAGCCATATTTAATGTACTCCATCCATTAGTGTCTAAAGATTATGTTTTTTGTTAGAAAACAGTTTCTGAAAAGAGAAAAGCCAACCAGAAGACATTAGCCCCAGCCTTCATTACAACATCGCAGTATGAGAACAGCTCTCAGATGAGTTTCTATGGAGAGCAAGGTGCTTAAAGATTTAGTAGGACAGTTTGGGGAAGATCAGTCCAAGTTCATACAACAGTTTGCCATTTAGACTCTCTGAAGGCAGGGGCACTTCTGTTGTGTCAGAAACAAAACAGGCTATGGGGCAGCCAGCACAGAGGTGTGTGTGGTTCAGCAGCCATGGATTGGATATTTAAGATTTAGAAAAAGGGGTGGGGGGAAACAGTTGGGGCTAAGGTCTTGCAAGAGTCCATTGAACATTTTTAGATCGTCAAAGTTTCTCACAACATATTTCATATATTTGTCTTAAAAATTAATTCCAGTTTCCTACGTGATTCTGCAGAGTTGTATCTAGTATAAACTTTTCTGGTCTGTTTCCCAGCTAAGACAGAAAGGAAAATTCTGGTCAGCTTTCTGTAACATATACATAATGTCGTATTTATTCTTTTCACTTACAGGCTGGAGCCAATGTCCTTCTGCAGGATGTCAATGGAAACATCCCATTGGATTATGCCGTGGAAGGGACGGAATCAAGCTCTATCCTGTTGGCCTATCTGGATGAAAATGGTGCGCTGATGCTTTGAAAATCCGTAGAAAGATAGTTGAGGAGATAGAGTGATACAATTATAAGTGCATGTATATTTTCAGGCGTGCTTACATGATCTCAGAGTGATGTAGTTTCCCTAGATTGTGTCAAATAAGGTATGGTTCTGTACAGCATCTCATTGTTCCTACTGCAATGCGTTGTTGATTTAGTCAATGCAGTTTTGCAAGCCGCTAGAAATCTAGAGGCCAAAAATGCAGGAACATTTTAACAAGCATCTAAAATCCATAATTAGCAGGACTGGGTTTGTAATTATAACCTGTTCTCCACTGGGAGGGGAAGGGAAGTGAACCAGCACAATTGAATTTTGAGTTAATGAGACTGAGGTCATTTGAAGTGTGTTCTCTTAGGAGCGGATGGTCCTTTCAAGAATTCCATGCAGGTAAGTGAAGACTTAAGTCAAGGGCAGTTTGCACAGCATCCCAACACCCACTCTTAGTGACACTTGCAAACACAAACGTTGTCAGAAGAAAGGCCCACGATCATGGTGCTAGCCTGAAAAGATGAGGCTGAGCCCCCAACATGTGTTCACTGATGAAGAACGTTTAATTGCACAGCCCCAGCATATAATTTCGTGAGTAAGTTCAGCACTGGCAAAGTGGGAGGTACATGAAACCTTGAGGCTGACATGGTATTAAACTAAAGATCTGTGCCTCTTCTTTTATTTTCCTTTCTGTTGTTTAGGTATAAATAATAACAAAGGAATTCCAATCCCTTTGAGTATGATCTTTTGTCAGAGAAATATTTAGAATTCCAAGAGCCACACTGTGCTTCTGACTCTATCCTTCTTGCCTCTAAGAAAAGCCTCACATCTGCCCCTTTGTTCACTATGCTCTTTGCCTCCTCCAGATTGCTTGTGTCAAAGGTTTATTCTGAGGATGGCTTGGAGTAATAATAATTAGTACTCAGCAGCCATGAGTTCTTAAAATATAGTCTCATTAATTCTGACAGCAAGGTAAGTACCGTTATCTTCATTAGAGAAAATGCGAGCAGAGCTGTGCGGCTGAAGGTCACCCAGTCAGGGCTTGGGCGACAGAAGCGGCTCAGGGCTGTGTGGTGTGGTCAGTGGTTCCCTCTGCGTCTCCCTCACTCCTTGTCCCCACGCCTACATGAGAGATGTGCACTTTCTTCACATCTTGTCTGCCGTGATTTGTTAGAGACAGACTCCATTACTTCTAAAATGAATGATGCTCCAAGTATGCACATTCCACTGTTGGGAAGTTTATTATTTGGACCTTTGCAAAACTTGACTTGCAGTGCACAATTCTGAATTGGCATGAAGGACTTGGCCGTGTTTTCTTTAGCTGTGCCAGTTCTATAAGACTGTTTCTTGCTCCTCTCATTGTTCTGAATTTCTAATAGCCACAGTAAGGAACATTTCTCTCCGGAAACTAAAATTAAGTGTCTTTATTTGCAAAAGAATCAATATTACTTATAAACCTTGCAACTCATTAAAGGATTTTGTTTGCTAAGAAATTTTAGTGTTTGCAAAAGCAGTATTATCTGTGCTATGTAAAGAAAAATAAGTGCGTTCTTTTGAGAGTTTGATTTTAAAAACGATTAAGAACAAAAAGGGGAGGCTGACTCTGAATAGTTAGGAGAAAATCTGTCATGACGATGGCTGTCACAATCAGTTTGTAAAATACTTGTTTGCTGGAACAAATTCAATTTAATATCTCTTAAATTTTTAATTTTGTTTTCCATTCGTCACTGCTGTTGCACTGGCCTCTGCGTTCCCATCCGTCTGCCCCTCCCTCACCTTGTTCACAATCTGGTTCTGTTTCTGCCAGTGTCCCTCCTACTTATGTGTATCAGCTGCCATAGTTCCAGTAAATACTGTCTAATTCGATTTATTCCCTGGTCCCCTTGTTGGTGCACTTTGAGAGTTATCTGCTGTGACAGCATGGGCTGATGTCCTTAGAAATTTCTAATATTCTGAGATGAGATTTTTATTATTATTTGGTGTTCGGTGTTTCAGCGCTGCATTCTTATAACTAGGTGGTTATGATCCTTGAATTTTTGCTCTGCATCGTACAGTTTCAAATCAGAGTACTTATCGTGCTGTCACATCAGGACACATGCGGCAGGAAGCAGGTGAGGTCGTGAGCAAGTTGATTACATAGAAAATCGCTGGTCACAAGTTCTAATTGTATTGTCACCGCCGACATACACTGTACACCATGCCACAGCAATTAACCTCGGCTCAACACCTGAGCTTCCCGGGCTGGAAAACGAGACAACCACAGAGGCTGATCGAGCGTTTGATGCATGTTAAATCTCCAGTGCGAGGCAAACCAACTGGCATTGAAGGAAAACAATGGATTATAAAATGAGCCAGCGAGGAAAGGAAGCATTGTGGAGAGAGCTCAAGGTGGTCCAGGATAAATGCTCACCATGGGAAAAAGGCATATATATATGCATAGATTTTTTTCAAGCCCTTGAAAAATAAATAAAACAAAACCTTTTTACCTTGCTCTATGTACATCATCACCCACTGCCCTTTCTCCTTCCTTTCAAATCCATCGTTTAAGGAAAAGTAGCTCACATTTATTCTCCTGAGATCCTAATCTCTCTCAGTCAGCCCACTGAAGTTCAGTTTCGGCCCCTACAGATCCGCTGGCAATGTCCCTACAATGACCACCATTGCCTCCTTGGTCCTGTATCTAGTGATCACTCTGTCTTCTTATATCCTCATGTCCCTGTGACACTGGAAGATCTTGATCACACTCTCCTGTGAAAACTCTCACCTGCGAGGATCTTTCCAGTTTTCCTCCCTTCTCTTTGAGCTTCTGCTTCCTTTCCTCTGGGTGCACTACTTGCGCATCCAGACACCATGGATTCCAAAATGTTGGTGGTTCCCAGCGCTTTGTCTCAGAGGATCTTCTTTCATCATTCCACACTGTTTCTGGCTTATCTCACCCTCTTCCTTGTGTTGTTACCATCTGCCTGTTCCCAAAAAAGTTCCTGTAGCTTGGATATCTTTCAAGACCTTCAGCCTAGTACATGCAGTGTTATTAAGTATCTTGACTTGGATATCAGACAATTTGAAATAACACATCCAATATGGAACTTATTGTTGTCCTTTCCTACTCTATCTATGTTCCTTTTTACCATGACAGCCAGGAATTCAAGAATCTGAACATCATTTTTCTTCTTCTAAACCTCTCATGTCAAACTGTCACCAAATCTTACAGATTCTACTTCCTTGACATCTGTCTAATACACACATCTCTCTTGCCAATCCTGCTGTTACTGCCTCAGTTAAAACCCTCGTTGTTCTATTTTGGGACAGCCTTGGAGACCGGTCTTCTTGCCTGCAGTCTCAGCCCTCCCTATTCCTTCTTCAGAAGACTCCAGGTTAACCAGTCCACAAATGTCCTGGTATCTTTCTTCTGCTTATTAAAAGTTCACTCAAAATGCTGTCCCTGCACCAGCCTCTTCAGAATCACCGTTGTTGGGGTGACGGTGCATCCCAGTTTGCCTGGGACAGTCCCACATTATGCCTGTGGTCAGGGTCGGGGGAGGAATGGAGTAGAGGGTCACAGCACTCTTTTGGCTTGAACGTGTTTATTTCTCTTTGCTAGACCAACTTTATTTATTTGCCTGCTTAACTCTTTTGCTTCCTTCAAGTCTTGGATCTTTTAGGAAGCTTACTATGGAGAGAAAAATTGGAGTTGGAGCAACTCTAGGAGCTTAAAGAATCTTGTGCTAAAATCGTGCGATGGGTCATATCATAGCCAGTGTAATGATAAAATTATCTATAATAGCAGCATAGAGCACCCTCAGTGCAGAATGCGTAATGGAGAATGGGAAAAGCTGAATTGTTACAAAACAATATTACCTTATGAGGGACAGTTAAGGAAAGTTAAGATAGGGTTGATAGTGACTTGAGGTGTTAATGTAGTTTCTGTTTTGCACAGGCATCTATTGATATTATCAAATGTAATCAGACAATAGTAATTAATATTACATGTACTAACTTGTGAATTTCAGGTAAATGATTTTGTTTCTTATTTCCTAACTTCAAAGAAATTACCAAATTCTTGTCAAAATAATAAATCTAAGCAGGACCTATATTAATTTTTTTTCAGAAAACAGTGTGAAAATAAAACTTAATTTCTTTTTAAGAAGAGAGGATTGGCCCATTATCCATTATGAAATAGACTTATTACGGGCTATAGCCGTTTTTCCAGGAGCAGCTTAAGAAATTTGACCAAAAAGAGAGGGAATTTCCATTCTATTGTATTACCAGAAATAGTGATTTTTTTCCTGAACATATAACAAAAATCTAAAAATCACACTTTATTTGGTATCGTATTTGATTAAAAATTATTTTAAAACAATTTCATAATATTCTCCTCTGATATCTTCACAACAGTGACGAGAAATAGATTGTTTTCCCATAATGTGTTGTCCTGTAAATGAGTCAGAAATGAGTGATGTCTAACCTCTCTGTTTTAATTTCTGTCTTTCATCTTTGAGCCCAATCTTTTTTTATCACTCAATTTTAATTACAGTTTAAATAATTCTCTAAAAGATACATACCGCTTCAGTAAACATTGCAACATTATCAAAGCTGACACAACGATGTAACCTTAGAATAGAGTAACCATCAGATTCTTCTGCTACTTCAATGTGCAAAATCGAATACTGACATCTGAGAAATAATATTTTCCAAAATTAACTCATATGTCAAATTCTATAACCCTAAAAATACGAATAGAGTGCCACTTTTAGTTGGTTCTTAACAAACCTCAAATGCGCCTATGAGGGAAGTCTGTTAGTTCTGAAATGGAGTGGGATGGGTCAGAAGCTGAGGTATGGTTAACGGTGTTCCTCTTTCATGTCTCTACTAAATGGGTTTGCTTTGAATAGAGTATTTGAACAGGGTACGTTATTCAAATATTGCATTTTGCTTTATTTTGTTTGGTTCCTCCTTGCCTCCTTGTTACAAAGAAAACCGCCTTAAATGAATGGCATGTAATCCCTGTAGCAGAAGGCTGGCTAATAATTACAGCTCACTGTTATTGAGTGCTTCCTGCAAGCTAAATACTGTTTTATTTGCTTTATGTGTTTTAACTCATTCTCATAACAACCAGTGAAACAAGAACTATCAGCCCCTTTTTGCAAATGGAGAAACTGAGGCAGAGTTACCTGCCTCATTGGCACAAATAGTTTGAGTGCAAGACACAGCACTAAAACCCAGGCAGGCTGACTCCTGAGCGCCTGTGCTCTGGTGTTCATCCAGGTTTCAAGAATGAGCTATGCAGTGAGGCAGACGTGGTGTGCTCTAAGGGGAAAACGACAGCACAGAGGCAGCATGCTAATGTGGTCTCTGCCGTGTAGACAGTCTTATAAAGATTACCTATAGCTTTGCTCCTTTGGGATATATGTTGTTATCTGAGTGATTGTGGATACAGAAGACCAGACAGATTAAATAACTTTCCCTAAGTCGCCCTGGGGAAGTCAGCCACAGACCCAGCACTGCCAGGAGGATCACTCCAGCATTTGTGCTTGAGTCCGCTGTGCCATGCTCTCTCTCCATGTTTGCAGCAAGGACTCAATCAGATAAGAGATAGAAACTGCTCAGAATAGTGGCTGGTTCACAGCAAACACTTGCTAAGAGGGAGATGTCATCATCATCATCATCATCATCATCATCATTATTACTTTCACTTGGAATAAGGTGGATTAGTAAATACTTAGTATGTCCTAGAACCAACGCTAGGAACAGGGGATGCATAGACGCAGAGATATAAGCTACCGTGAAGATTACACTATCGTGAAAGCTGGGGTTAAAATAAAAGCAGAATAGAGGTATAAACAGGAGGTGAGCAGACCTGAGCCTTTTATAAATAAATTACCCACCTCAGTCAAGTCAGACTATCAGTTCTTCACTCAATTTTAGTTATTTCTCTTTATTAATAGTCATGAAATGATCAATTGGAACATCTTGTTTAAAAAATTTATTTTGAAAATATTTTGGATATGCAGTGAAGTTGCAAAGATAGTACAAAGAGTTCCCATGTGCCCTTCACCCAGCTTCCCCTAACGTGAACAGTTTACACAGCCATGGCGCGTTTATCCAAACTAAGAAGTCGACATTGGTACGATACTATTAAAACTAAACTACAGACTTTATTTAGATTTTTCCACTAAAGCCCTTTTTCTATTCCAGGATACTACATGGCTTTTAGCAGCAACTATTTTGGCCAGAAAATCATAGAGAACAAAAACTATATCTTTATAACTCATTTCAATTTAATTCAACTACTTAGAGATACTTGGGCAGTGTGTATTGATGATTTATATGAAAATCAATATCCATCCAGAGCCTGCCATGTTTAAGGCATTGTGTCACATCTATGGGATACAGTAGGAGGAAATTATTCAATGCCGTACTCTCGCTGGAATTAGAATGCATGCCAGGAGAAACAGTTATAGATACTTTGAGAATTCAAAGTGGGAGAGGGGCTTCAAAGAAGAAAATAATGAAAGAACATGAGATAAAACTAAGTTTTGAGCCCCAGCCGCTGAGAAGCATCTCTACATTCTGTTTGAAAGGCTCCTTTTTCTCTAGGAGTGGATCCGACCTCCCTGCACCAGATGAAGCTTCAGAGGCCAATGAGTATGTTAACAGATGTAAAACACTTCTTATCAAGTGGAGGAAATGTTAACGAGAAAAATGATGAAGGAGTTACTCTGGTAAGTTAATATACCTGACTCAGAAATGTTGCTTAAATAGAGATTTTAAGTTGATTTCTAAACCATAGAATTGGATATAGTTAACTTTTAAATAATGTCTTTTTTTCCTGATAGCAAAAGTAATACATATTCATTGTAGAAATTTTGGAAAACGCATAAATATGCAAAGAGGAAAATGCAAATCACTTATGCCACCACCCAGAGCAAACAATGTTTATATGTTGATATATATTCTTCAAGCCTTCCTTCTATGTATGTTTTTCCTACAGATTTAGAATATTTTTTATGCACTCCTTTGTCAATGTGATTTTTGAGATGGAACTTATAGGAGAATGTTTTCATTTTAATTTTAAGCAAAACAAACTGTGACTTACTCTGGTGAATGAATTTCTAAATTCAAATGAACTCCTGTTATTACTTTTTTTATCACTATCAGGCACAGCTTCAGTAAATTAAAAACAGAACAGTTAAATTTGGATTAATTTTAATGTAAGCATAATGTCTAATCATCAAAATAATAACATTGGCCCTATCGAGCCACAAAATTTACCTGGACTGGGCATGCTCAAGTTAAAATTAATCATGTGGACATAAATGTATTAAGATTCAGGGGAAAACAAAACAGAGAGTAAACTGGGGCAGCAGAAGAGAATGTGAAGCCCTGAAGCGCGGCACGCATAGAAGGGGTTGGAACCCGTGATTCAGTCTCTTCCATGGAGAAGATCCAGCGTGAGGCTGAACACAGTAGATGGGGAAAGTGATTGAACTAATGGATAGGAGTTTTGTGAGATCTGACAAATTTTTAGATTTATTAAACATGGATTAAGTGCCTTGAGACATCTAGATGGAATTCTCTTCCTAGATATTGCTTTTGGCCTTTGGGATATAAGTTTCAGAAGACTATCAAAATGTAGCTCCAAGCTATAAGAAAAGAAAACAAAGCATGTTTAGAGTTCATGAAAAATAACACATTCAAATGGTAAAACATTCTAATTAAGTTATTGAGGAAATAGTTATTGACCATATCCTGTGAACAAAATAATAATGAACAATACCACAAAAGTCCTTTTTTTATGGGCTCCCATTTCACTGGGGAAGACATGTAATATACAATATAAATGAGCTAAATATATAGCATGTTAATAATGATAAATGCAAAGGAGAAAATAATAAAGCAAGACAGGGACATGCTGGGTGTTTTGTTGACATTTTGGATACGTAGACAGGTAAGATCTCACTGACAAGGAGGGGTTTGAGTAATGACCTGAAAGAAGTCTGCACACACTGCAGGTGTGAAGGAGGAGCATTCCAGGCTGAACAGTGATAGGTGCAAAGGCCCTGAGGCAGGAGCAGGTGTAGTGTGATTGAGAAATAGCAAAGATGCCCGTGTGGCTGAGGTGAAGAAAGAAGAGGAGAGAGGTAACTGCTATCAGATCACACAGGGTCCTGTGGGCTTGTGTGAGGACTGTGGCAGTTACTCTGAGTGAGGTGGGAAGACATTGGAAAGTTCTGAAGAGAGGACACGATCCTGCTTCCCCTCTAAAAGACTCCCTCTGACTGCTGTGTTATGGATGAACAGTAAGAGGGTGAGACTGAAGCTGAGAGGCCAGTTGGGAGGTTTCTCCTGTAATCCAGGCAAGCTGTGGTGCGGCTCAGAAGAAGGTGCTAGAAGTTGAGTTGGTGAGAAGCGGCTAATTTCAGTACAAACGATCCATTCAGTTTTCCTGATGGAAATGTGCTGTGAGAGAAAGAAAAGACTTCAGAATGACTCCAAGTATATTTCCCTTGAACAACTGGAGTGGTGGAGTTGGCATCCAGTGAGACAGAGAAAGCTGAGGACACAACGAGCTTAGAGCAGGGAAGGCCAGTGTCAGTTCTGGAAATGTCGAGTTAGAAGTGCCTCTTCGCCATCTACATGGAGATGTTGAGTTTGTGGTTGGATATTGGAGTCTGGAATTCAGGAGATGTCTAGACTGAAGAGAGAATTTTGGGAACATAGGCGTATACGTGATATTGGAAGCCTTGTCCCTGGATGAAATTGATTTTGATACAGAAGGAAAGAGGATTTGGGATTAGCCATGGAGCCTAGGAAAAGAGGAAGATCCAGAAACGAGATGGGAGGGAGGAACTCTCGAGGTAGAAGGAAAACCAAGAAAATGAGATGTCCCCAGAGCCAAGTGAAAGAAGTGTGACAGTGAGGAGGAAATGATCAGCTATCAGATACTGCTGAGACTTCAAGTAAATGGAGACAACAGTTGGCTCTGGGACCAAGGTGGGGGTCGTTGGTCTTCTTGTCTAGGGCAGTCTCAGTGGGGTAGTGGGGTAAAAATCCAGATTGCAGTGATCTATTTAATTAACAGTTCATTTAACGTACGTAATGCAAATAATGCCTAACACATAGTAGAAACCCAATAGAGTCTTTGTTTCTTTGTTTGGCAGAAGATATTACAACTTTATATTTTTTTAAAAATCACTGTTAAATAAAAACAGCATACATATGTCAATCACTGCTAAATAAAGGGACCTACATACTTCAGAAGAGAAGCTATGGAGAGAATCAATACAAAGCAATAAATTGCTATCATTTTCAGCCATCTTCAATTTTGCATTCCTTGTGACATTTTTTTACTGAATAGAGAACATAAATATTGCAAATAATTGTTCTATAATGCCTAAATCTTGTGGTGATCATCTTTGAGCTTTTTACAAGGAAAGTAGCAGTGAACGGGAGGCCAGGAAGTCATCCCTTGAAGATTACAGTGTTCAGCAAGTGGCTGTTCAGTTTGATTCTCATGTCTGCATTGGTTAGTCTATTATGTTAATGACTGCCATCCCTGGAGTTGTCTTTCTGTAAGGTGCGTGTCTATTGTGCATTCCTGTCAATTGTTGTGATAACAATGAGACACTTTTGTCCACAGACGGATTTCTGTATCCTCAGTTGGAATGTCATTCGTTATTCAAAATTGGGCGTAATTTCCCACACTGTTAAATTGTGTGTGCAAAAGAGCTGAAACTATCAACAAAAAGCTCAATGGGAATAAACTTCTAGTAAGATGGTTTTTATGTTGCTTTTTCTTCCTTTTTTAGAATATGCAATCAAATAACCAAATATAGCTCTTTTAAAAAGATTACTTAGTTTACATTAATATTCTTCTTAAATGAAAAGAAAAGCCTCAGAAAAAGATACAATTCCAATAAAAGTCATGTTACAGAGCATATGAAAATGAGTTCCTAAGTTTGAGTGTATAAAAAAACTACTCTTTGGGGCCGGCCCTGTTGCTTAGCGGTTAAGTGCACTCGCTCGGCTACTGGCGGCCCGGGTTCGGATCCCGGGCGCGCACGGATGCACCGTTTCTCCAGCCATGCTGAGGCCACGTCCCACATACAGCAACTAGAAGGATGTGCAACTATGACATACAACTATCTACTGGGGCTTTGGGGGAAAAATAAATAAATAAAATTATTAAAAAAAAAAACTACTGTTTAAAAATACTACTGTTATAACTAGCATATATATTCTGAAGACCCTGGTTCTTTACTGTTTTGGCACAGGATTGGATACATCACATCTGGCCTTGAGAGATAATTGGAAAAGAATTATTCATGAGATGCAAATATCAAGCAATTTTATTTTTGTCTCCCTTTTGTATTTCACTAGTACTGGTTCATTCCTTACTTCTAGATGAAGACTTAGCCAGTGCCATCAGTTTTCTGGTCATTTTTATGGAGTAACGCTTTTATGGTTACATTATGTCACAACACATGGCCTGAATTTAGAGATTAGATTGTCTGGACCCATATAAAAATTCATACTCCCAACTTGTGTGAAGTCGGGGCTCACTATCTTTTTATGCTTTACTCCCCTTTAGCCATCTGATGTAGTCATGGATTCCTTGTCAGAATAATGTTTTTAATGTAATAAAAAATGGTGCCTAGAATTACAAGTAAAGCCAATTATGTTGAAACATAGTAATCATAATATTAAAATTAAATTTGTGATATGTAATTCATGTTCTTCTTTATTAATGCACTATGTAACAGATCTAATAATTACTGTGATTTTAGAGTAGAGTTGAACATGGGTAATATTCTGAGCTATCTGCTACAACAGCAACATGATATGAAAATATTATGATTTCTTTAATATCACAAGTGTGCTGCCTATGTCATTACTGAAGAATTTGCTAAAGTTCAGTTAGGGGGTAGAAAAAAATAAAACTAACCATTTTCACACTCAAGTTTGCAAACCCTGTGAATTCTATCCACATATCCTGTGGGGGCCAGTGGGCCCAGGTGGTAAGGATCCCAATTTCAGTTAAATCATGAACCTGCTCCCAGCGTAGTGCTGTGTCAGATTAGGAAGTCCACGGAAGGGAGGGTGGCCTGGTCAACCATTTCCACTCCTGGATGTTGCTGAAGTTGAAGGAGAGGAAGAGAGGAGCAGACAGAGGGGCAAGAGGAGACGCAATGAGAGCAGGAAGGTTTTGACTTGACCGCGTGATGATATCATGCTCTCTGGGCAGGAAATTGACTCCTTCTCTCGCAAGGATGTGGGAGTTCTTGCGATACCGCCGCTCACCCCGTCATGGGAATCTCTAGGCTGCACCAGGTCTGGGTGGATGCAATTCTTCCCATGTCCTTGACACCTGCCTCAGCTCTGGGGAATCTGACGGTACCCCCGCCTCTCTCTGCTGGCCGTGCTTGCTCTTGCAGGCGTCCCTCTGATAGAGAACCAAGAATGAACACAGCTTGTCCACGGAAAATCTTCCATATATTCTTTTTCTCCTGCAGACTCATCAGTGTGCAGGTGGATCCCATTGTATCAACAACTCCCCTTCATTGCACACCAAAGCAAGGAGGAGCCCGTCTCTTGCCCTTCACTTTCACTAAGCAGGAATCAAAACCAGTCACTGTATCTCCACCAAACTGCCAAGGACATGTAACTTCTCTCAATGGTCTAGGAGGCCAGTCTCTCTCGACTTGAAATCAGGAAGGGACTCAGGTCCGTCCCTCCACCGTGGGAGGGGAAACTGGACTCTCCTAACACCTTGGCAGTTCTCTTCAAAAATCGTCCATTTTCATTCTCATTTTATCTCCAGTTTCAACCTATTATGCTCTCAGTCTTGAGGTAGAGGGCAAAAGTCATCTAAGCAGTTTTTGGACAAATATTTTCAAATTTACATACATGGTCTTGTTTTGAGATGTGATGTATATCTATATATAATTTTCACACTTGAGTCAAAACTGATAGGAAGGGCCGGCCCCGTGGCTTAGCGGTTAAGTGCAAGCGCTCCGCTGCTGGCGGCCCGTATTCGGATCCCGGGCGCTCACCAACGCGCCGCTTCTCCGGCCATGCTGAGGCGGCGTCCCACATACAACAACCAGAAGGATGTGCAGCTATGACATACAACTATCTACTGGGGCTTTGGGGGGGAAAAAAACTGATAGGAAAAATCCTCTATTAGCATTCAGATACAAATATAGATCAAGGAAAATGTGAAATTAGTGGTTAAAAATCTGCGCCAATCCTCCTAGGTATTTGAATGGCTGTTTCTCGAGATTGATTTTCGTTTACTGCTAACACAGTTTTCATCAAAATATGGCATTAGCCTCACAGTGATCATCCAGCTTTAGACTGGCAGGGTCACAGACCTTAAACAAGAGCAGATCCAATGGGGATGTATTTTAAATTTTACACCCAGATTTTTTTAAAAAAATGAGATGCACAGATACAAGGGTGAGTAACAGACTTAATAATTAGCACCTATTTTCCACGTTATGCAAAAGAAAAGACTTAAGCCTGGGTGGCAAAGATCCTTCCAATATAAAAATGAGGAGAAAAGACAAAGGGAAATATTGATATCATTGACTACAACAGAAATCAAAATGAACATTTATGCTTCAAACAATGAGCAAAATTAAGAGGCAGATAATAAACCAGAAGTAATATTTCCAAAAGGTATTTCAAAGTGCTAATATCTTTAAAATATGCAGAGTTTGTAGAAATTAATAAAAAAGATGACCATCTCTCAATACAAAATTAAATAGTAATGAGAATCAATTCACAAAAGAAAAAATACAATTAGCCTATAAATATATGAAAGGAAGCCCATTGTTGGGAATTAAATACATTCAAATTATTTGCAATCATTTTAGAAATAAATAATAGGGAGGACCAGACAAGCTAAGGGTCTACAAGAATGAGTTCTCTCGTACACTGGATGGAGTGTAAATGGATACAAACATTCTGGAACTCAGTGCTGCAGTATGCATGAATAATTTGGAAAAATGTTCATTATTTTAGAATCAGAATTCCATTTCTAAGAATGTATCAGAAGGAGATAATCAGAGAGGCACATACAGTGATTATCAACAAAAAGTTTCTCTTTAATATCAAAAAATGGAAAATTCATAAATACCCAATAATTAGGAATTGCTCATGTCAATTATGATGCTCCATATGATGGTATACTATGGTTTCCTGGAAAACGATGGTGCAGAAGAACAACACGGTGGTAAAGCAGTTGGACAGACCTCAGTGCTCATCCTGGGCTCCCTCACTTCCTGGGTCTGATTTTTACTGGTTTCCTAAACTTTCTGAGTCATAATTTTCTCTTCTTTTAAATTAGGGTAATAGTAGATCCCACAGTGTAGGACAAGCAGGTCCAACAAGACCATGCATGTAATTCGCTGAACCTATTGTCTAGTTAGTACACAGCGAGCCCTCAAAATTAGCCGTTATATAATCGAAGCTCATTACAGCATGGAAAATATTCAATATATTTAGGCAAAATAAGTTTTAAATTAATAATGACATAATAATTCTTTTTTTATGAAGTGAGTAGCATATAATGCATAAAGTGAAAATAAATCCCCCTGTTCTCTGTCTTCACCCGGGCCTGTGGTACTGCTTGAGTGAGGAGGTGGTGGTCTTAGAGAGGATCTCGCTAGAACAAGCCTCAGACTTCTACCTGGAGTCTGAGACTCTCTTGTGTTTTCATATCTGAAAAATGCCAGGACCTCGTGATGCTTTTGCAAAGTATGCGAGAAGGCGATAAGCCAAGCTTAATGAACACCGCTCTGCCTACCTGGGTGGTGTGCCAAGGGAAAGCTGAAGCAAGTGTGTAAATAGTGTGCATCTTCTAGAGATGAACATTTTAATACATGATTAGTATTTGAAGGAGGGGGAGGCTTACAGGAAGAATAAAAATTGTATTTTAAAACATAAATTTATGGGATGAATGCAGGGTTTGTTAGGAGCATTAATATTGCAGTATCATCCTAGCCTGGCCAACTCGGATGTCCACTTTCCTTTGCTATTTCAAAATGTCAGCACTGGCGAGAGCAGAAGTGGCTTCAGACCACAATGACCGTGCTTCCCTGGACCAGCTCCTAAATTATCTAATCTACAGCTTTTCCAGCTGCAAAATCAGGACCATGGTAACTGTACCAAAGGTTGTACAGAATAAACAAAATACTTTATAACTGTTATGCATAGTGTTTGTGAAACCACTCTAATGTCTCGTCCTGCGTTGTAACTAGATAGGTGATTTCCAAAGTGTGATCATTTTCCACAAAAACTCTGCTTTAAAGTATGCTACTAGCTCTATACAGAAACAACTACCACCTCTGTGTTTCTCGGAAGACCTCATCAAATAGCAGGAGAGGAGAATTCTGAGACACCATAATGGTAAATACTCACATTTTGGCACCTGATATCTTCCAGCCATAGTCAGGACAAGGTAGAAGTATAAATTCCATTTCAGAAAATAGACTTTTTATTTTTTTAACTCTAAGGCTAACTTTAGTGATGAGAAACTGTACTCCATGGGGTCTAGTGACTTGCTTATGGATTCAGAATTCGACTGCCGATAGAATGAAGGTATCTAAGCTCCTGATATGTTGTTGTGATGATTTTAACAAAATCTAATATTTTGTGATGATGTGGAAGTACTCAAAGGCAGGGTCTTGTTTTTGTTTTGAAATTAGATTAAATTTGCCTGCCTCCATAGATACCACTGGTAATTCATATTTGGATAGCTTTACTACTACGTGAGCCAAGACTGTTTTCCTTCTAGTCTTTACCTTGGGAACAGGGCATGAGATGACTGACTGGGGGTTGGGCTAAGTTCTAAATGGTGGAACCGGATTTTTGCTGCATGGAAAGCAAATCTACTCGTAAAGAGGCTGATCCTGTGAAGTTGACATCATTAGTGTCAGACGCTAATCAGCTGATGGACCCATTCTTACTGTAGTTTTATACTAAAAGTGGAAATCTTCTGAGATCCAGATGTTAGTGCATATGGCACAGAATAACCTGCCAATCATTGACTGATTATTCAATAGTTGAATAAATTTAGAAGCAGGTGAAAGATTAGTTCTCTAGGAGAACAAGCATATAAAATTACATTTCTCTAAAATACTTGTGGATATATTATTCTTGGGAAAGTTCACTAGAATATTAATTAGATGAATTCTGTATGTAACAAAGTATGAGAAGATTGGTATGAAACTTAATCTCTTAACGTTTTTGCCTTAAGTTAGATGAATATATTTGTTGTTCTAGTGTAGTTGAAAGTACAAGTAATAAACATATAAGTATTACTGTAGATTGAAGATGTAATTAAGTCCAGAGGTAGGAAAGCAAATATTTTTGCTTAATTTTATCTATATATATATATATTTAATAAGCCTTTTGACTTTAATTTTGTCTTTGTAATAAAAATGGAAAGGAAGAGAGCTACCAAATTCCAAGCTACAAACCCTAGAAGTCATGTTTTACTACTTTTAAATTAGTTTTTCTTTTTCCTTTCCTTATAGTTTCCTCTTCTTAATTATTATGATTACAAAATCAATCATGTAGTTACTTAATAAACTAATTTAAATTGAATGTGCTGATAGTTTACTTAAAAATAAACGCTGCTGCCTTAGAAACAGGAATTCCCCCATCTGAAAAATCTGAAAAACTCTCCAAATTCTGATCGCATCATTGTCGTTCCTGAGGCCTCATTTCTAGACCTCAGGTTGCATTAGGAAACTAAACTGAGAGAATGTTAAATGATGGCTATGTAATCATGTGAGAGCCCGTCAGGATTAATTAATCTTTCCTAGTGTTCCTGACCCTTTTCCATGTGTATAAGCATCACAGTGGTCATATTTCCTGTTGTCATTTATATCTCTGAGTCCCCCTCCTATAACACCAAATGCAGTGCTGGGATTTTAGAGCTGGTCAGAACATATTTGAGTTTGGGTCAAGAAGTGGTAAAATATTGAATTATTATATTTTGTATTTTAAAGTATTCAGATTATAGTAGAAAGGGAGACTAGAGAGGGAAATAGAAATTGCATGAAAGAGTGCACGTTCTCAGAGTCAGAAGGAAAACAGTGAAAAATTAATCCATAAGCCTTTTTTCAAAGAATGATGGCATCCACTTGTACCAAATAAATAAAATTACATATATGTTTTTTTTTTAAAGGTCTCTCTATTTTAGATCTAATACTTTGTTAAATAGCTCTCTTTAAACCACTGAATAAACTGTATTGATATCACTGCTCTTTTTAAGTTAAATAACAAAATATTTCTTCATTGCAGTTACACATGGCATGTGCAAGTGGCTACAAGGAGGTGGTATCTCTTCTGCTGGAACATGGCGGAGACCTCAATACAGTAGATAATCAGCACTGGACCCCACTCCATTTGGCAGCAAAATATGGCCAGGTAAAATGATTTCTTGAGTTATTTTTAAAAAATCATTTTATAATCAATGCATCATTTCATATTTAATTTTGTTTTTATTTAAAATCATGTACTAATCATTATGTAATTTGACTTTTAATGACATCATCTTACTAAACAAATATTTTGATGGTTGAAAAAAACATTTACTTTTAGAAGGATACACAAAACACATTCCTCAGGACTCTGTATATTATAGTCAAAATCATTGGATAAATAATCAAAACGTAAACATTCTTTATAGAATGGACTTAATGCTATTTTCTTAATATTAGATAGTCTTTATAACCTACAATTACTTGAGTCTATAATAATTCTGTTTGATTTCTACAGTTAGTAGATATAAAGCAGAATAATATTTTATATTTTATTTTTCTCTACAAATTACATTTCATTTTAATGAATGAAGGGTATGTAGCAGAGTTCCTTCTCTGAATTGATTTTTGGCTATAGCTAATACATCTTGAGTTACTATTGCACAAATTAATTTCTTACTAGGTAGCATTATATTATGAAGAAGAAGCAAACTCAAACTTATTTTTAAATTATTTGTATGAGTGAATGTGATTAATATTCATAGTAATTAATTAATATTAAAATTAATTTATAAAAATATGTATAATATTTTGTGTCAGAGAAGTCTTAGTAGTAATAGTATGAAAAATAACTCAGTTTTACGTATATACGGAGATTGCAGCTAAACTTGTTGATTTCCAAACATTAGTTTAGGGTAACAATCACACTCATTGAATTTATGGTAAGTTAAATTTCTTAGATCCTAACTGGTATGCAAAATATCTGTCATAAAATTTGAGTAGTGTAATTGTTGAAAGAATTGAAAGCGTTTGCATTTCAAACATTTTTTAAAAAGCACGTTGCTTGAGGAAGGTCTTTCACACTAATAAAACATTGTTTGCTTTGAGAATATTTCCTATAGAAAAAGATTCATTCAATAATTATTTTTAACAGGCTATTAACAACCCCCAAACTGTGCTTTTAGCAAGTGAGTGTACCAGTAAACAAATGGATGGGTTAAGGGGACGAGGCTGCAGGTAGCTGAAGTCATTGGCCTGAGGTGTCCAGGGTCCACAGGTCCCACTAGACTACTGAAGTATTGGGGGATCAATACATCAGTACTCCATCAGTACATCAGTACTCCATTTCTACCACAGCAGCATACTGGGATACACTGGGTGAAAAGTTTTTTCATGGGTGAAAAATGGAAAAGAGAACATACAAGCAAGTACTGTTGCCTAGAACACAACCTGTTTGCCTGTGCTGAAGAAATGGTAATCGGTGAATTATCAAAATGTGCCCATTATTGTCAGAGATTGCTTCTGGAAGGAGCTAAATCTGGAAGTGAGTGATAGCTTGGTAAAATATAACAGAACACTAACCTAACTTGAATGGATTGAGGCTTTCATTTTACCCAATTTTTCACTTTTCCAGATTGGACTTTTAGATTTGGGATCAGATATCATTTCAAAGAGTAACAAATTGGTTCCCTTTAACGATTTTTATAACATAATGAACTCTAGGAGAATAGGACTAGATTTAACAATGTTTTTTTAAAGATATACCTTGGACTAAATATGTCACTATTTCTGTTGTTAGATGTTTTAGTGATTGTTATCAGAACCTAGTATGTGGTTTTAGTTTTATTTGGTTGCAGGTCAAATGAAATATTTGGTACGAGTTGGTGTATTTTATTTGTTATTGAATTTTTCAGTTCTATGATTTACATTTCGTTCTTTCTTATAACTTCTGTGTCTTTGATGAGATTTTCCATGTTTCATTTGTTTCAAGAGAATTTGTAATTACTTGTTGAAGCATTCTTATGATGGCTGCTTTAAAATCATCATTAGATAATTCCAGCATGATTCATCTTGCTGTTGATGTCGTTACTCGTCTTTTCTCATTCAAATGATGATTTCTTGATCTTGGTATGATGAGTGATTTTTAATCCTATCTTGGATATTTTGGCTATTATGCTAGAAGGATCTTGGTCCTATACAAATCTTGTGTTTTAGCAGGCAGTCACCCAGTTGAAGTTTAGCAGGCAGGCCCTTGTCTACTTGAGTGGGCTGTGGTTCCAATAACAGTTTAATTTTCAGACCCTTTGAGGTATTATTTTGGTCTGCTTGATTCATCTGGTGCCACTGGGGTTCCCACTGGTTCCTTCTGGTGCCCCCAGAGGGGTGGAAAGTGTTTCCCTAAGCCAGGCTATCCCAAGTCTCTGGGTGGATCAGGGGATTCTCCACAGGGACAAAAAGACTTCCAGGGCTGGGGGCGTATGGGGGTTTGCTCTCTCTTGCAGGTGCCTCCTCCCAGCCATCCTCGTCTGTCGTGGGGGAGGGGAGTCAGGCTCAGTGGAAGAAAAGTGCCTGCCATGGCACTTAGTGTTAGCCGGTCATGGTGCTGGACTCACCTAAATTTGTCACAGGGACATGGTTTGAATGGGGGATGCATGTACCTGGCCCCCTTCTGTTGCTGGGTTAGGCTGGGAAATACCAGGTCTGGATATGCCTTCTTCTATCGGGTGGGAGGACGTAGGTTGCCCTGCACCTCTATGATTCCTCCCTTCTATGGATCCTGAGCCAGTTCACCTTCCTCTTTCCACTCTTCAGAGTTGCTTGTTATTTCCAGGGTTTATTGTAATTAGCAAGGAGGACCAGAAAGAAACCAGCCTAAGTTGGTGTGTTTTAAAACAACTGCTTCTGTTCAGAAAAAATACTTATTTCTAAAAGCCTTGTAAAGTTTGATAAAGAGTGGTGAAAGGAAGTTAATTTATGGTTATTTTCACGTGAAACCCACATGCAGGGCAGAGGAGACATGAATATGCGTTTACATAACGGTTCCATTTTAAAGTATCTATTGCTATCTTTGGTTCTGCATGTTAAACATAACCAATTTTTTATGACTCATATGTTAAATGAACATCTAGATGTTTCTGTTCCACTTCCTAGAAGCTATACTGATTAAGGCAGAAAGAATTAGTGGCTATCAGAAATTTTATCCCTCAGGGAATCAGGTGAAGATACTGATCCTTTTCCCAGAAATGCACAGACACAAAAAGTATGCCTATAGTTTCAGAGGTCGAGAGGTCTCTGTGAAAATAAGGAATAGACCTTTCAGGGGTCCATAAGAAAACCTGCTCTGCAGAAATGGAAACTTTTACCCAAGAAACTACATTTTTAAAGTGCCTATAATTGAGCTTTATTATATTTTAAGTGTTAAAAGACAAGATCAGAGTCAGAAAAAATTTGTGTCACAGAAAGAGACATGTTTTATATAACCATGACAAAAGATTAATGAATATGTTAAACTAATAAAACAGGTTGGCTATGTGGTAAAAAGATTTGCAATTGGTTTTAGTAAAGAAAGTCGATTTTTTAAAACCTTAATTTACACAGTTACATTTAACAATAAAAAAATGATTAATGATTAACATATATGCCAAGCATGATGCCTGCCAAGCCTTGGTGACATAAGGAGCACAGGCCCAATACAATAGCCTCTTCCTTCATAAAGCTTCCTAGAGATTCCCATCACACAAAATTCATCAAGTAGAGGAATCACTGGTTAATAAGGCAGAGAGAACTGGTGGATATCAGTACTCTCACCCCATTACGTGTCACATTAGAAAAATTTCTCAAACTTCGGGTTTTCTAAATCTTAACGTTTTCAGCCTAGAAGAACATAGTCATGAACTTATATGGAAATATGATTCAACAGCTGCACTTACTTCACAAGATACAGAGTAATTGAGATGGATGTTTTTATTATTACTTTTGCAGTATACTAGCTACATTTCCAACACTCATCACTTATTAATGATAAGTAACTTACACACTTTCCAATTGCTTCATTTTTTTCAAAACCAGCTGCAAAATATTTGACCCCAACTTTTGAAAACAATATTTCTCTTTTTTTTAGGTTCCCTATTCTTTCTTCTATTTCCCAGATACTCCCCCCATACGAACACATCTATATTTCATTCTGCCCCACTAAGCGATGAAGCCAGCTTTGTTCTGAGGACCCCATGGCTTCCTCCTCACTGGGTCTGAGCACCAGCTCTGCCCCTCGCTGGCGGTGTGAACATAACAAGCCTCACTAATTCTTCTGCCATAGAGTTTGGCCCCCAGGGTCTTCAATCAATGAGAACCATAAACTGCTGTTAAAAGGGAGATTTTTACACAGCTTGGAAGATGGTTGAGAATGATGAAGGCGAATGGGTCAGAGAGGTGAACGTCAACGTGCATGTGTCCTGGTCAATTGATCCATTTGCTAGATTTGTACAAACAGATGTCCAACAGAAAATTTTCCAGACATGGCCATTTATACTGTGCCAATGAGGCCGATTTTAAAAACCATCTCAACTTTATCCTCTGCTTCTCAGAAAATGACTAGCCATTAATTCAGTATTTTCTAAATCCTTATACATTTTACTACCAAGGATAGGGTCTGAAGATAGTGTGCCTTTTCTATTTTGCTCCATTAAACCTACTTGAACGGGGTCTCCACCAGAACATAAGCTCCAGACAGCAGAAACTTTATTTGCATTGCCCACCCTGCTCTCCCCGTGTCCAGCAGAGTAACTGAAGGAAGTGAATGGACAAATCCATCAACCAAGAGCTAGAAGAAAAGCTTTAATACTGAGAGCTACAGTGAGGGTTTTCTCTTAGAATATTTGACATCAAAACCAAAATATTCTTCCCCAATTCAGACTAAAAAAATTACTAAGAGATTTATGTTAATAGAAAATTTTAAGTAAATTGTATCTTGATTATTTTGTCAAGAAAATACCCATATGATATCTAGAATTATTTTTAAAAACTGTTCACCCTTAAAAATACTATTGACTATTCATTTTGGAAAAGATATTTTAGAAACAGGCTTTATTTGAATATAAATTTATATGCATGGGAGATTTATAACTAAAGAAATTTACTGTAAATAAACGTATTTCATTTCAGAATAAA